GCCAGGAGCTGTGTTTTCACTGCTTCCCTTCACACTTAGCCCTGATGTTTTTCTAAATCCATGTGATTTGATCCCCCAACTTCTGGAATCATAAACCTGACTATAATAGACTCCATTGAGCTCTGAGGCAGAAAGCCCCAGAGAGATGGGGCTGGGCAATGCTCCCAGAAACAAGCCACCAGCTGTTGGCACCCACACCTCGGCTGAGCCCTGGCCCCTAATGCGATCTCTCCACCCGTGACCTCTACCTCTGAATTCCTGCCACTACTAATGCTTAGCCAGCTCCCAGTATGTCTAGATCCCCTCACTCAGACCCTCAGGGTTGGAAACCAAAGCCACAGGGTGGTCTTGGCCCCAGAACATTCAGTTGAACAAACCTGATGCGTTGCATCCTTGTACTGGATGTCAGGCACCAAGCCAGGTAAGCTGCAGCAACTGTGCTGTGGTTTAGAGCTGTGTGGAGGTCATGGAGGAGAAAGGCGAGGTTCAGAGATGACATGGTGGGGGCAGTGGGGTGTCGTGAGCACTCTCAGCGGAAAGGGCATCCCATCCCATCAGCATTGGAAAGGACAAGGAGTTGACCTACAGAAGGCGTAGGCAGAGTCTCCTGATCTTGAGACTTCACAAACAAGCCCAGCTGTAGCTTGCTTGCTGTCTCCAGAGCCAACAGTTTAGGAACTTCAAAGATGACTCCGGGGTTCATTTGGTGAGGCGGGTGGGCAGTGGAGGGAAGAAACGTTGAAATCTGCCTCTTTTAGCAAACACCTCAGATGGTCCTGAAGCCAAGAGCTATTCTTTCCCTGAGCTTCCTGCTCCAGGGCCCCTCAAGATAGGAGCAGAACCCGAGATTGGAGCTGGGGCAGGAGGCAGGGAGAGAGTGTGTGGCCACGACTGGAAGCTCAGCCCCAAGCTCCCATGATGCCTCTCATGGTGGTCTGAAGGGCTCAACCCAGCATTGATGGGCACAGTGGCTGGTTTCTGCAGGAGGGAGCAACCAGGATTACACTCTATCTGCTTGTCTTCAGTCCTGCCTTCCAGCCAGAGTGAAACACAGCCACTGGACTTTTTTTTTTTTTCCCCTCTGCGAGAAACAAAGTGTCTGTGAACTTTTTGGTTTTTTCACCAGTTCCTCATGCCTCCCTCGCCCCTCCCACCCAGCTAGGATCATCTTCCCACACTTGCCCTGCCTTCTGCCGGGTGAATTGTGTGGGTTTTTCGCTTTTATTTTTAACTGATCCATAAGAATCACACCATGTCCCCTCTCCATGTGTGCACACCTTGTGCTGTGTTTCATATAGGGTCAACAGAATGATATTTTTGTGGTAATAACATTCAAAATCATCTCTTCCGGCTCTTTGTATGTATAAGTGTGTGTGCATATATAGTGCATTATTGTTATCTAACAGATGGTGGATTTCTTTGTTCTACTCCTATGTGAGTTCTAATGGATCTCAAGGACCTATTCAAAAAGACACTTTGGGTTTTGCTATTTGGTATAGTGGTTAATCCACCTCTTAGGATGCTTGCATTCCCCGTTGAACTGCCCAGGTTCAAATCCCAGCTCTGCCCTTCATTCCAGCTTTCTGCTAACAGACGCCTTAGGAGACAGTGATGGCTCAAACAGTCGGAGCCCTGTCACACACACAGTTCCTGGCTGGCTTCTGGCTTCAGGTTGGCCAAACTATTGTAGACATTTGGAGAATGCGGCAGACCTCTCCCCCTCTCTCTGACACTGTGCCCCACCTCTTCCTCCCTCTCTCTCACCCCTGCTTCTCCTCTCTCTCCCTCCCCCTTACCATCTCCCTCTATGTCTGTCTCCTGCCTTTCAAATATGTTTAAGAATTTTTAAAATGACCTTGTGTCAGTCCTAGAGATAATTTTTTATGACTTTTGTTCACAATCATTTTTTAAAATGTTTAAAGAAGCAAGTCATCTGTACTTCTATTATACACATATTTTTTGACATTTGATGTTTTCTGTCCAATCTTCTATTAGTCGTTTATAGAATTAGAATTATATATTTTATACAAAGACTGAGCACAAGTCTGTGTATAATAGCCTACTTTTTTCTCACCACGGAAATCAACTATTTCACTGTCATGTGTTCTTGATTGAACATTATATTATGAACACTCCCCCCTTGTTATTAAATATTCTTTAAATATTCTTCTGAATAAAGCTATTGTAAGTGTATCCTCTTCCGTTGTGTGGCTGAAGCGTGCTTTCTCTCCCTTCTGCTACTTCAAGTCTCTTTGTTCTTTCTGCTCTCTTCTGCCTTTGATCTCACCCTGCCTAGTTAGTTGCTGTGAGACCTTAGACAGATTACTAAGTGTCTCTGTGCCTCCATTTGCAGAGGTGTAAGTGTGCCTCACAGATATTTTCCTCGCACACAGCACTGTAGGGATTAAATTACTTAATACATGCAAGGCAGAACCCTTAACTTCCTAGATTAACACTATTATCATTTATATTATATACATATTTTAAAATTGCATTTACTTGCTAATAGAAGTAATGAGTAATTCTCATGATAGGAAATGTAAACATTGCAAAAATGCTGTAAAACTTAGTTCTTATGCACAATCTGCATAATTTATACATCAAACTATGAATGGTGGCTATCTCAACCAATGGTTATTGAAGACTAATTTCATATCATTTTTAATGTGTAATTTTAAAAAATTAAATTCATCATAAGTATTCATATGCTATCTTGTAATTTATTTGTCTTTATGACAGTTTGATTTTTTTTTATTTACTTCTTTGTTATTTATTTAAAAGACAGAGTGGCAGGATGAGACAGAGAGAGCCACTGAGTCACTGTCCACATGGCTGTAAAAATCTCATTGGGGCCGGGCTGAAGGTAGAAGCCTGGAACTCCATCTTCATGTCCCACCTGGGTGACAGAGACTGGGCATGCAGGTCACCTTCTGCTGCCCTCCCATGAGCATCAACAGGGAGCTGGGTCAGAGACAAAACAGCCCGAACTTGAACAGGTGCTCCAGTGTGAGGTGCCAATCAGTGTTCTAACAAGACTCCTGCTATTTCACAGCCACATGTGAATTCCATTAGACAGCTTTGGACCAACCAGTCCCTTGTGGGTGAGCTTGTCTTACAAAATATCTATTATCACAGATAATGCTGCCAGGGCCAGCATGTAAGCCACCACCTGCATCCCAGACAAAGTTCCAAGCTCCTGGCTTCAGCTTGGCCCAGCCCTGTCCACTGTGGCCATCTGGGGAGTGAACCAGCAGATGGACCATCTCTCCCTTTCTTTCTTTGCCCCTCTCCCTCTCCCTCAGTCACTCTGCCTTTCCAAGAAACCAATACATCTTGTTAAAAACTGCTGCAGCACACCTCTTTGCATGTATACATGTGTGTGCTGACATGAGGTTTTCTGTAGGAGAAATGTCTAGATGTGGAAATACCGGCTAGGCGAGTATGTTGGTTTTTTTGAAAGTCATTTCAGCACATTGCCAAATCGCCCTCCACAAAGGTCATTACCAACTTGCACTCCCACCTGTGATGTGTGAGAAGGTTTGGTCTCTCACCAGCAAAAGAATCCAGCCATGACTCCTCCCGGGCTTTCATCTCTGTCCCTCTACTACGTGCAATCTATGATCTCTCTGCCACAGTCTCTCCTTTTCATTTGGATTTTATTTTTAATAGTAGCAAGGTTAAAGCTAGGGTACATGTTTGGTAATCACTTGTATTTCCTTATGAAAATTGCCCGCTCATTGCATTTTATTGGCTTGTTTTTCTTTTGTGCCTTTTTAATTGATTCATGGGTACTTTATAATATTAATATGATAAGATAAATCTGTCTACTGAATGTTACCCATTTCTCTCTATTTTTTTTTCTTGAAAAGATTTACTTTCATTTGAAAAGCAGAGTGAAAGAGAGGGAGAGTGAGAATTTTTCCATCTGATGCTTTACTCTCCAAATGGCCATGGTGGTTGTGACTGGGCCTTGCCAAAGCCAGGAGCGAGGAGCTTTCATCCCAGCTTCCCACATGGGTGACAGGGGCTCCAGTACTTGGGCCATCTTCCATTACTTTCCCAGACACACTAGTAGGGAACTGGATCAGAAGCAGAGCAAGTAGAACTCAAACTAGGGCTCGCATATCGGATGCCAGAATTGCAGCTTAAGCTACTGTGCCACAACGCCGGAAATAGAACTGCAGGTTATTTGTTTATATGTGAGTTTCATATTTTTATCTACTCACCTGTGTCAGTCTCTTCCTTTATGGCTTCTGAAGTAGGTAGTGCACTGAAAATTCTTCTTCGTGAATGTGAAAATCATTTGTGCTCTTGTTGACTTGCCCTTGGGTTGAACCCAGCACTATTGAAGTCAGCCTTGCTGTACTTGCAGTGGGAGTGAAGAGGGCATAGGGCAGACTCCCCTGCTGGGTGAGTAAGACTCTGCCTCATTGGCTGGCTCTGGCACAAGGTGAGCTGTGATGCAGACTGGGACACAAGTGATGCCCATGACCAAGATCACCATAGCACTGGTCACTTCAGCTCAACCCCCAGTCAAGAGGCTGTGTGGGGCCCTTGGCCAGCCAGCCTGTCACTGCTGCTGAGTCCCCACAGAATGTGGTTATGTCACCAACAGCACACCGAGAAGGCTGCGTGGGTGTGCCTGCTGTGTGGCTGGCAACAGCATGTTTGGTTCCACTCTTAAGAGAAGGCAGTGGACCACAGCAGGCAAGACTCTGGCTTTGGGCTCAGGTATCCCCTATGTCCCAACACTGACTTTGTCACCATTCACCACTTGACTTCTCCAAGCCTGTGTTTCTTTTTATGGAATGGGACCATTCCCCAATGAAGTGAGGATGGCAGCCAAATGCAGTTGCCCAAGGCTTCATGCTATCACCGACCTGCATTGGGCTTGCTCTATGCAGATGGGACATTGTACAGCTGGGTCAGAGATGGGGGTCCTGGCCCACACAGCCTGCATGGCTTCAGTAAAGCTCTACAGCCCCTGGTTCTGTCAACAGGAATTTCCACGTCTGGAATGAAGGCTGGTTCGTGCGGAATGACCTGGGTTCCTCATACAATGGCTGGCAGGTGTTAGACGCCACCCCACAGGAGAGGAGCCAGGGTAAGCCCCTGCCCAGCATCCTCTGCTGGGTTCACCTCCAAACCACTAACTTCTCCTTCATTTGCCACAAGGCTGCAGGGCAGGGAGCGGCCCTAGGGCCCTCTCCCTCTCCAGGATGGGAGCCAAACAAAAATGTTTTGAAAATACACTTGCCCTCCTGATTTTGTTTGGCCCCAAGTGATTGCTGCTGCAGAGGCCCCACGCCTGTTGCCAGGGTTTAAGGAATTGGTACCTTCCTCTGCCAATAATGATTTTCCCATGCCAGCTCCAACAACTGAGCCTTCCCAGTGCAAATCTTATGGGTGCCCATGGCCTCAGGGACTCAGTTCTCCCTACCCTCTCCAGGGTCACCTTCCCACATGTGCTAACAACAGGCCACTTCATTTCTGTCCCAAGCCTGTGCTCTTCCCCACCATCGAATTCAGAAACCACTTCCCTCTCTCCCCACTTCTATAGTATGTCCTGCCTGTTACCTTCACTTTGAGTCATTTCTTTCCAACATTAAAACGCGGATGTACAAAGTGAAATGCATACTTCTTTTAAAATTTTAAGTTATTCTGGAAGGACTCACAACAAAATCTGAGGATGTCCAGTCCCTAGCCCGCCTTCTAGAAACTCTGTGTGTTCCTGGGATAGGGGAGTCAAGAACCTTTCAGGTGCTTTCAGAGTTTTTCTTGCAATCAAAGCAATGATCAGATCAAACTAGCTGGCTGTGACTATCACTTGAAGAAGTGAGCTGAGTGGGATGCAATGGAAAGGGAAGAAAAAGGAAAAATAAATATCAGCATGCATTAGCCATAGCAAGACCAGGTTCTGTCCTGTGAAACTTGTGTCTCAGTGCCACATGTGTGTTAGAATGTCAACTCTAGCTCTTTCTAGAAGTCACAATAAAAAAAAAAAAAAAGAATTGAAAGTCACTGTCCCAAGCATATAAAAAAGGAAGTGTGTGTGTGTTTAATTTGTTTTCCACAAATGGAACAACACTCTTCTTTGTATTCTGCTTTATTTCAGCCGCCCACTTCCCAAGTGAAACTCTTTCTAGAGATCTGTCATCTCTCTTTCGATCAACCAATTGATCCATTGATGTAGTTGTTTCAAGGGCCCCCTATGCTGGAGGAAGGAGGTGACGGTCCAGCCCTGAGACCTCAGAGCAGGAGGCCGTGGGACCGAGTGCTCAGGGAGGTCTTCCAGGAAGAGGAAGGAGGGCAGTGACACTCTGGGGTAGGGAGATTTATATGTAGAGATGGGAACGGGTTGTGAGGAGGACTAACTCGAGCACAGGACAGCCCCACATAGGTCAGCAGGATGTCCCCAACTGAGGAAGCAGAGCAAGGGAAGTAGGAGTCTGCAGGACACAGGTTCCAGCCAATCCTAGATGCAGCTGGCCCTTGGGTAGGTGCCCTTGCAGAAAAAGGACAATGGCCTTAAACGCCACTGTGTGAAGCAGTTGAGGGTGATGGAGCTGGTGGTGGTGGAAGTGGGAGTCTCCAGAGGAGCAGGTGTGGATGGATCTGACACGGGCACATATCCAACTGCTGTGTCTTGGTATCCAGGGGTCTTCCAGTGCGGCCCCTCCTCGGTCCACGCCATCCGCAATGGGGATGTGGACCTGGATTTCGACATGCCCTTTGTGTTCGCGGAGGTGAATGCCGACCGCATCACCTGGATCTACGACAACTCCACTAGCAGCCAAAAGCAGAATTCCTTGGATACTCGCTCCGTTGGCAAGTACATCAGCACCAAGGCTGTGGGCAGCTACTCTCGTGTGGACGTCACGGACAAGTACAAGTACCCAGAAGGTAGGAGGGACATTGAGCAGGCTGAGCCACAGGGGGCTCTCTGCAGAGGGGGCCATCCTGAGGATGGAGAGAGTAGAGACCCCAGCCTCCCTGCCACCCTCCCCCCGCCATACATCCTCAGTCACTTCTGCTTGAGTAAGAGCGCTTCTCAGCAGCCTGGAATCTTCAGTGTCATCAGAGACTTTGCTGGCAGCTGTGGCACCCCTGGAAATATGCTACAGGACACAGGCAGTGCCCAGTCATGCCCCATTCTCCATTGCACAGCTAGGGCAACAGCACTGTGACTGCACATCCCAGGGCAAACCCCAGCCCCTCTGGGAGACAGCCAGGGGCTTGAGAGGAGATTTCTATATGAGTTCACTCCCCAGAGCCGGAGACATGTCAATAACAAACACCCTTGAAAACAAAGATGAGTATGGAGACTCAGAGATGGAGTTGGGGACCAACACCGCATACACTCCAAGGCCCCCCAAGAGGCTAGAGAAAGTGTGAAAACAAGTAAAGCAAGCTGCAGTCCCCTGTAGCCACTGCTCAGGGCCATTGCCATGAGGCTGTCTTCACTCCAACTACCTTTACTACTCAGAAGCAGCTTTGAAACCAGCAGCTTATTTTTTTTTTTAGATTTATTTATTATTATTGGAAAGTCAGATATACAGAAAGGAAGAGCAACAGAGTGAAATCTACTCTGTCCGATGATTCACTCTCTAAGTGACCGTAACAGCCAGAGCTGTGCCAATCTGAAGCCAAGAGCTCTTCCAGGTCTCTGACACAGGTGCAGGGTCCCAAGGCCTTGGACCATTCCTGACTGCTTTCCCAGGCTACAAGCAGGGAGCTGGATGGGAAGCAGGGCTGCCAGGATTAGAACCAGTGCCCCTATGGGATCCCGGCACGTTCAAGGCAAGGCCCCTAGCCACTAGGCCACTACACCAGGCCCTCTAGCAGCTTATTGTTGGTGCTCAAGGGCCACCAAAGTCCTGCATTCCAAGGTGAAATTCATTTTTCAGGTGTGGCCAAATGTCAGTGTACATTTGCTGTAGCAGGCTGTAGTCATTTGCTCCTTCATGGGGTCCACATTCTGCTCTCTCACAGGCTTTGAGGGGATCAGTCCGGGGTCAGTCCTCACTGTAACTTCCCAGGGGCCAGGGGCCCACAGGTCCACTCAGAACGAAGCCTTAAATCTCAAAGAAGTGCTGGCTGTGGATCCTGTCAAGAGCTAACCAACCATGGACCCCGGGGTCTGACTGCAAAGCCACACCCCTGACTTATCTGGGCACTGGGTATGGGTAGATATTTGACAGTAACATTCCAGAATACTCAAAGTGGTGGCCTTGGTTTGGTCCCAGTCTGTCTCTGCAGGCCATTCCCAGATGGGCCTCTTCTCTGTCAGTCAACCTGGGGGCACCCCTGCTGAGCACCTGCTCCAGGCTGGGCCCTGGGATGCAACAGACGAGGTGGCCAAAACCCAGGGTTCTGGGTGGGCAGAGGCCAATCTGAGATGAACGTGGTCAGTGGCATTGAGGCGTAAAATCAGGCAGAGAAGAAATCACCCAAGGCCAAGGGCAGACTCCAGACCTGCCAAGGTGTCACTATGCCACCCCAAGCAGGTCCCTGCTGTTCACTGGGTTTGGCTGTAAATGGATACCAAGTGCCAAGCACAGGACATGGAGAATCATAGTGCTCTCAGCATCAGTAGTCCCGCCTGAACAGTGACCCCCCCCCCAAGATGACCATTTCACAGTCACTGCCATCCTAGACTCATGACCTCGTGGACTTCCTTAGTGCTTCTGTACCATGAACCTGCACTTGCTGAGTCCTAAGCCAGCCCTCCTATGCAATGTTCATCTCAGATTGGCCTCTGCCCACCAAGATCCTAGGGCACAGGGGGTCCCTGCTGGACTATTGGCAATGCCCCAGCCCCTGCATGCCAGGAGGGCAGGTCACACTGCCTGAAGTCGCCCAGTTCTCCTTACTTAATGACACCAGCTCATCTCCAAGGGATGAAAAGCTCATAAAAATGGGTTGCTAAGCATTTATGCAACAGCAACGCCACAGGGAGAAAACAACAGCAGGAAGCCTGCTCTTGAGTAAGCCTGGCAGGTGACCTATATAGGCACTGGGACTCTCGGCTTCGTTGTGCAAACACACCTGCTCGAGGTCCCAGACGCAGACGGCGGCTCAGGGCCCCACGCAGCTATCAGCCCTGGGTGTGGACTGGCAGCTCTGCTAAGGAATGGAAAGGCACCCAAGGGAACCCAGCGTGCCAGAAGCGAACAGCTTGGGTAATCTGGTTGCCCCTTTTTGAGCAGGGTGTGTGGGAGGAAGCAAGGAACAGAGCCCTCCTCTGCCTTGGGTCCCCAAAGCAGTTCAGACTCTCGGCTTCTGCTTGTGATGAACTCAGGCATGGTGGCATCTGAAGTTTACTGATTGTGGGAAGGGGATTGCTGATTGTTTTTTCTTTTTGCTGTTTTTTTTAAAAAATTATTTGTTTTTATTGGAAAGGTGGATTGACAGGAGAAATAGAAAGATCTTCCATATGCTGGTTTACTCCTCAATGACCATAATGACCAGAGCTGAGCCGATCAGATCCGAAGGCAGGAGCCAGGAGCTTTGAACTTCTTCTGGGTCTCCCACATGGGTGCAGGGTCCCAAGGCTTTGGGCCGTCCTTTACTGCTTTCCCAGGTCACAAACAGGGAGCTGGATGGGAAGCGGAGCAGCTGGCAAACGAACTGGCACAGAGAGTGACATCTGACATCTCTGGGCAGTTTTATCATAGCTGGGAGCCAGGCTGTTCCTGCTGCCAGGCAGACACGAATGTCCCTCCTGGGCTCCTGGAGTTCCTGTGGGCTGTGAGGAAGTGTTCTGAGAGCTGAACTGCAGCAGTTCAGGGTCTTGACCTTATTTTCTGCTTGCAGCTCTGTTTTTGTGATTTTGCTTGAAATGATCTATTTTCATTAAGTCCCATTAAAGACAGTTTATAAAAAAATCATAAAGGAATCACTGGGAACTTAACTAACAGAGGCTGTGTGTCAAGCTGTGGGGTCCTCGTGGGCGGATACCTTAGGAGCTTCTGGGAAATGCCGAGCTCATCAGAGAAGCGCAAGGTGGACCCTGGCCTTGTCTGGGAGCCCCAACCCCCCACCGTAGGAGAATGCATGGAGTCCTGGAAAAAGAATACCCATTTGGGATGGTGACTGACCAGGAATTAGTTCCAGGCCAGCTCCCAGCAGGGCACACACAAAGCACCCCTCTGCAGAACTTCTGTCTTTTCTCAACATGCAGGTTCCAGTGAGGAAAGAAGTGTCTTCCAGAAAGCTCTAGGCAAGCTCAAACCCCGGGCAACATTCAACCCCACGTCTGCAGGGGATGTGGTGGAAGAGGAGCGTGTGGTTAGCATCTCTGGCAGGTTCAAGATCACTGGCGTCCTGGCAGTGGGCAAGGAAGTCAGCTTGGCCCTGCTACTCAAGAACCGGAGCAGCGAGAAGAAGACAGTGAGCGTGAACATGACGGCTTGGACCATAGTCTACAACGGCACGCTGGTGCACGAGGTGTGGAAGGACTCCTTCACCGTGACCCTGGACCCCGAAGAAGGTGACTCACCCTGGAGTTGGGTCTGCGGGGCTAGGATTTGGGTGGTTCCACCTGCCTAAGGATTGGGCATGTGGCAGAGGTGCCGCCTGTGGCTAGACCTTGATGCTCTGTGGTGAGTGGCTTTCCCTGTGAACAGCGCAAGTCAGGGTGGTGCCAAGCAGGCTCCTCATCTGCCCCGAGGGAGAAGGGAGGGAGGCCTGGGTAGGACGCAGCTCAAGCGCAATCTCTCTGGCTTACAGATGTCTGCCGCCTCTCAGCTGTACGGCAGCACATTCTGACCTGCAACCTCACTTGACCTCCCCAGAAGAGAGGGGGGAAAAGTAGGTGTCAGAGTCCGTGGGACAGAGGCTGAGGCCTGGAGGGGTGTGCAACTGGCTGCAGAGATAGTCAGAAAATGGCGTAGGGTGCTGACAGCAGCGCCACCTCCTGCTGTGGCTGCGCTGTGTGGCTGCCTCCTCTCTGCGCCATGCCATCCCTCCGCCCTCAACGCTACCTTGCCGTAAGCCATCCTGCATGGGCTGTCATCAGCCTCAGGGACTGAACCCTAACCCAGGGTCTCCCCTGTATTCCTGCCTTGTCCCACACCACCCTAACTGCCATGGGATGGGTGGATTCCTGGAGGACAGAGCATTTGGTAAGAGGGAGGAGGGAGACTCCTTGGCCCTGGGAAGCGTTGTAGGGCCAGGCACAGGTGGAGCAGAGGAGGGCTGGGCCAGGTGGAAGGATTAGCAAGCCAGAGGGTGTTTTCCCCATGGGCAGCATCCTTCACACTGTGATAGAAAGTCAGGATTCACAAAGCAGATTAGTGAGGGTGGCAGCAGCAGCGAGCAGGTCTGCCTCCCTGCTTCCCATCCATACGGCTTCATTCTGCAGCCCGTCTTGAAGGAATTCTGTCTGCAGAAGAACAGAGATGGAGTCCACCTGTCGGGAGGCAGCATCCCCTGGCAATCTGTGTTCTCACAGAATTTGGGCAGAAGCAGCTTCAAGATCAGAGGCACCTGCTGGAGGCACCTTCCCGCCTCCAAGGCAGAGCTGTTTGTGGAAACACAATAATCCATGAGAGGCAAATGGATTTGAACACTCCTTCAGCCAGAGACAGCAGAGTGGCGTGAGGGGTGTGGAGGGGGAAGCAGGTGAGGTGGGTCTGGGGTCCTGACGCTATTGCCTGCCTGCAAGAGGACCCTGGTTAAGTCGGCCTCCCTCTCAGAGCCCAGGGGTTACTAACCACAGGCTCAGTCTATCTGTCCATGTTCAGGGGTCAGATTTTCCAGTGCAGAAAACAGAGAGAGCTCCCTCCTCACTGCCTTAACCTCCCAGAGCCAGGCACCTGAGGGTGCTAGCAGATGGGGCTGCAAGTGGAACCAAGCAGGTCAGTGTCTGTAGAACCAAACAGGGGTGGGAGTCTGTGAAGAGGCAGGAAGGGCAGTGACACAATCAAGCCTGGCGTGACTCGTGCAGTGAGTGGCTTAGGACAGTAGAGGCCCACGGAGGGAGGGTGGCCTGGGAAGTCACGGCAAGTCAGCTACCGGGTCTGAGCCGGCTGGGGAGGATCAGGAGACAACGGCCCGCTTCCCTGCCGAGTTATTCACATGTTGCCATGGTTATCACTGTCTTGTTGCTGGGCAATCTGCCATCATTTGTGTCCCTGGTCCCGCCCTTTGGAAGGAAACGTGTCCCCCCAACACTTTCCAGAATGGGGAGGAAGCGGCTGATCCCCCAGTCTCTGTGAGCCAATGCTATCCCTTTGGGGGGATCTACCCACCCAACCAGGGTCCTGGTCTCTCCCTGGCCCCTGCTGTAGAGCCCACCCAGATGCGGAGTGGGAGGGATGCCTTGGGCAGGGCTGGGTGGGGACCTAGATCCCACACAGACACTCCCTTGCACTCCCACAGGCCTGGCCTGGACACTCCCTCCCACTCCCACGGGCGTGGCCTGGACACTCCCACCGGCCTGGCCTGGTGTCTCTGAGACTTTGTAGCAGCCATCCTCATACCCTCATCTTCCATTCCCCCTCACTTTCCCTTCCAGAAACTCAGCATCCCGTGACCATCTCATACGCTCAGTATGACAGGTACCTGAAGTCAGACAACATGATCCGGGCAACCGCCATCTGCAAGGTCCCCGAGGAGGCCGAGGTGGTGGTGGCACGTGATGTCATCCTGGATAACCCCACCCTCACCTTGGAGGTAAAGCGGGGAGGGCACCCCCTGCAGCCAGCCCCTGCTGACTGACAGATCCTAGGGGAAAGGGGCCGGTCAAGGACAGGCTGGCAAAGGGCACAGGGGGCACAGAACATGGGCTCTTCCCTTGGGCTCCGTCTGACGGCCGCACAGGCCAGGTGCCGCAGCTGTCTGCCCCATAAACACCTTGGCCCAGCCTATTGCAATGACACCCGCTTCCTGAGACCATCACTGCCAGAGGAGCCAGAGAAAGTTTGTAGCTGCCCTGGCCTCAGCACTACCCCACGGGCACTGCAGCTGTAGTGGTCCCTGCCCTCGGGATGCCCACTCCTGTGTGAGAACCTATTTACAGTCCAGCAACCAAGCAGGCACAGTGCCTGTAGGCAGAGGACTGAAGGTTTCTCAGGGAGTATAACCAGGGACCAGTGATCTGGAGGGGCGTCAGAAATGACAGAGGAAACTTGTGGATGGATAGCCAAGGAAATGTCCTAAGTATCCCTGTGATGGAGTTGGAGCAACACAGGCAGATAAGGCACCTGCTGAGAGGCACGGCTGAAGAAGGGTGGAGCCCAGATATAAGGTGGGGCACCAGGGAGGAGGAGTAAAGAGGGCAGGTTCAGAACCACTCGTCCTCACTGCTGCCCTCATGTGGCCGCCCAGGCACTGGCTCCCTGGTCCCAGAGCAGGACCAGCTGCTTGGCTATGGCAGAAGCGCAGCAGCCTTGGACCAGGGCAGCACAGAGCTGAAGACCTGCCCAGACCATAGCAGGGTGCCCAAGGGCTCTAGAGCCCCAGAATGGCACTACCTTCATTTATGCCATCATTTGGATGCGGCCTACTTCCCGAGGACATGTCCACCCGCATTCAGGACTCATTGCTGGCTCCCAGGGACAGGGTTATTTTAGGAGCTAATCCATGTTTGTAAAAACAGACACAGTGACCCCTACGGGTCAGAGTAGGAACAGCACCATCAGTTCTGGGTTTGCACTCTTCCCAGCCAAGCTGCCTCAACCAACCAAACAAAAACACTCTCATTTCTACAGACACCAGGGGCCAACGGCTTCCCATCCCAGCTCCTGAGACTGGGGAGCAGCCAGTTCAGCTGCGAAAACATTCTGCTTTGTATTGGAAGGAACCCAGTTACTTCCCATTACATTCTCTGGCTTGCCTATCTTCTGCCTGCCTGCTCTGTCTTCTGGGGTTCCATGTCAAGCCTGCCCATCTTCCACATAACAGCTGTCAACAGGCAATCAGGACGCAACAGGCAGGAAGTACAGAACTTTCTCTCCAATCCTCTTCCCAAGGCACCAACCTTCACTTCTGGACACACCTTCCCCTCTGCTTGCACCCCCAGACAACCATGGCCCTCTGGTCTCCATGGGGTTCCCTCGGAGTACAGGCACCAGTCCTGAGCTCTGTGGAAGGATAATGCCCGGGGCATTGGTACTGATGGGCAGATGGGAATCAGAGCATTGGTCAGTTCCAACAGGTGAAGTCCTTCCCATTGCTGACCCATGCCCTGTGGCCACCAGAACCCCGTCCCTGCTGGCCCATGTTTTCTGCTGTTGACACAGAATTGGTCAGCAAGGGGAGCTGTTGACAGCAGTGACGAAAGAAACAGTAAAGCCAATGGGAATCTGCCATTCAGCATCTCGTGGGTAGCTTGGTATGTCCAAGCAGCCAAGTGTGTTTTCACTCTGAATTATGCCTTGCACTTGGGTGGGTTCCAAGGGGGTAAATGATGATGTGCCAAGGGCTCTCAAGGGTCTCAGTATTCTCAAATTACTGGTAGGTATTGCGGGGCTGCTGAGGGACAGCAAGGCTGCGGAGCCAACTGGGTCCTGCCACTTCCCACACATGACATTCCCAAGTCATTGAGCCTCATCCTTGTCACTGTGAAATGGCGGCTCTGGAGATTCACAAGACACAGAAAAACCGAAGCAGCAAGCCCAGCCACCTCCAGTGGTCCTTATAAGGAGGGAGGAGATGCACCAGCCGCGCAGCTGCACTCTTTGCCCCCTCTATGGTCTTCCCTGGAGGGGAGAGGAATCATCCCCCCTTTGTCTGCTGGGGTGGGGGGAGAATTGAGGTCCAGAAGGACTGCTTATCTGTCTGGAGTCAGGACTGGATCCTGGTGGAAGTGCAGCAGCCTTGGCCCAGTGCAGAGCTGGAGGTCTGCCCAGACCACAGCAGGGCGCTCAGGAACCCTGGAGGCCCCAGAAGGATGTTACCAGCAGCAGGTGTTGATGGGGAGTGGTGTGGCCAGGATGCTCGGAGCAAGGGGGACACAGACCTGTTCTGTGATAGAACAGGAAGGGGCTGCTGCAGCTGTGAGCCAGGGTCTGAGCAGCCCTGGGTGGGTTCTGGTCATGGCCATCACATCCAAGGGGCCTGCTTAGGAGGCAGGTTCCAGGAAGGCGAAATTCACTTCACCAGGAAGCATCCTCCAGCCTCCAGGAGGCTATGGCCAACCTGGGCTGTCCTGGGGAACAGAGGTTGTCCTTCAGGGTTCAGGGAAGCCCTGGGGTCCTTCTCTAAGTTCCTTTCCACGGTGTGGGGCCAAGGGTGATGCCCCAGGAGCCCCTAGTAGGGATGCTGGGAAGCCATCTAGCATTCAGGAGGGCTCAGCCAACCACCCTCCCCTCCAGTGTGCCCAGCTTGTCCTGCCCAGCCATCATCTAGGACTGGCCAGGCGCTGAGCATCTGGATCCTAACCCCCTCTTCCCCTCCCCGCAGGTGCTGGACCAGGCGCAGGTGCGGAAGCCCGTGAACGTACAGATGCTCTTCTCTAACCCCCTGGATGAGCCCGTGAAGGACTGCGTGCTTATGGTGGAGGGCAGCGGCCTACTGCTGGGCAACCTCAAGATCGAGTGAGTCTCTGGCCTGTGGGCATGGCGGAGGGGACTGAAGGCAGGGAAGGCGGGGCTCCCTCGCCCTTGGCTCCTTTATTCTCTGGGGAGATTTGGAACTGGAGAATCTATCGCTTTCGCATTTGGTTTGGGAAGCCCCAGCTCACTGGAGCCCAGGGCTGACCTGCAGAGCCTTAGTAAGACCTGACTGGGGGAATCAGGAGAGCCACACTCTCCTCCCTCCCCGATGGAACATCCCAGGCTGGAGGGGATGGTGACCCAAAGAGGCTGCTGGGGAAACTGGAGAAGGGAGCTTCCCCCAAAAGCCCGTGCTGCCCCGGGTGTACGTCTCGTCCCACGTCTCCTCTGATCCATGCCCTTCCGCAACAGGGTCCCTACCTTGCGCCCCAAGGAGCGATCCCGGGTCCGTTTCGAGATCCTGCCCACCCGGAGTGGCACCAAGCAGCTACTGGCTGACTTCTCCTGCAACAAGTTCCCAGCCATCAAGGCCATGCTGTCCATCGACGTGGCCGAGTGAAGCGGGGTCCCTGGCAGCCCTCCCCCACACCGACTCACGGACGCGGACAGCAGGAACAGCGTGCACCTGCTCCTGTGGTCCGTTCAGCCTCAGAAACCCACTCCATCCCCTACACCTGCTGGGCGGGAACCTCCAGTCTCCAGTAAACAGAAGGGCTGGATCCACCCTGGCCTGTGACTTGACCACTTTTGCACATAACCCTGGCACGCACCCTCCTGGCGGCCTGCTCAGTGAGCCCCGTGGCCCAGCTCAGACCTCAGGTGCCCACCCATGCTGCAGGACCCAAGGGCACCTGCTCCAGAGACTCTCCATGTGGGTGTGGGGGAAAGCAGTCTGGACTGTCTGCTGAGCCCCAGCCCACACCGGGACCTTGCTACTCTGCCCTCAGGCCACCATGGGGGGGCAGGGGTGGTCCATCAATCAGCTGCTGTGGCATTCACATCTTCACATTCAAAATAAACATTGTCCAGTTGTCCAGCGTTGTCACAGAGCCCAGCCTGTTTCCACTGTGGAGGTGGAGGAGAGGGGTCGGGGGGGGGGGGGGTGCATGGCTGAGACCATGTGTTCTGAGTTTGTGGGAGCAGGCCGTGTCTGCAGTTCCAGGTGCAAAGGAGAGCGAGGTTTCAGGATTTCTGAATACGAGATGGGGGAGAACTTCCTCACCTGTACGCACTCATCCTAGGCATGGCCAGGCAAAGCCACTTATGGCCTGTCTCCAAGCCTCTGAGCGATGGGGCTGCAGAGTGCTGCTGGAGCTTGTTTACCGGTCCCTAAGAGGCTTGGCCTTTCCCCCCCACCCCATGCCATGTACACTTTGCTTTTTTAAATATGTATTTGAAAAGCACTGTTACAGAAAGAAAGAGTAAAATCTTCCATTTGCTGGTTTCACTGCCCAAAAGCTGAAGCTGAGCCAGGCCAGAGCCAGGAGCTTCTTCTGGGTCTCCTACATGGGTGGCAGGGGCATCGTCTGTTCCTTTCCTGGGTGCATTAGCAAGGAGCTGGATTGGAAGCAGAACAGCTGGGATTCAAACCAGCACCTACATGGGATGCTGCTACTGCAGGAAGGGATTTACCCACTACATAGCAGTGCTGGCCCCACATGCCTCCCTTTAAAAATAAAAAGACCTATTTATTTTTATTGCAAAGTCAGATATACAGAGAGGAGACACAGAGAAAAAGATCTTCCGTCCACTGATTCACTCCCCAAGTGGCCGCAATAGCTGGAGCTGAGCCAACCCAAAGCCAAGATCCAGAGCCTCTTCCGAGTCTCCCACATGGGTGCAGGGTTCCAAGGCCTTGGGCCAAACTCTACTGCTTTCCCAGGCCACAAGCAGGGAGCTGTATGGGAAGCAGGGCTGCTGAGATATGAACCAGTGCCCATATAGGATACCGATGTATTCAAGGCGAGGACTTTAGCTGCTAGGCTACCACACCAGGTCCCTCCACATGCCTTCCTTTAAGACAGGAGATCGGGTGCCACCCCTGCCAGCCACCGCTTGCTCTGCCTTCAATCGTGGACTTCAACCATATATCTCGAAACAGGGCCCCTGGCTTTCCTGTCACATGCACGGACTCCTGATGTTTGCACACTTGGCATCTGGTATGCATGAGACATTCACAGATACCCAGGACCCAGTCACGTCAGTGAATGAATGAAGTGGCCCATTGAGACAGCTGAGCTCCCCCTAATCCCCTGAGGGTGTGCCAGTCTCTGCTCCAAGCCCTCCCTGGGTTTGTTCAGTCCTGCCAATCTGCCTAGAGTTGGGGAGGAGGAAGACTTGGATACCTGCTTGACAGATGGAGGAGTTGAGACCCAAAGGGTTGCCGAGATCATGGGGAAGGCAGTAAGTGGCAGGACTGGGTTCCAGACGGGCAGCCTGGCCCTTGTACCTGCTCACGTGTTAGGCAGCCAATGTGTCCCATGATAAATGCCATCGGGTATGTAAAGAGGCAGGAGGTCAGTGAGGCAGGAACTCGGGAGTGTGGCTCTGCCGTAGCACTGGCCCTGGCAGGGCCTCTCTGGTGCTTCCTCCTGGCTCTGCCTGCGCGTGCTTAGAAACTGACTCTCATTCCAAGGCCAGCAAGGGTCATTAATGAGGCCTCCAGTGTCCCTGGTCCCAGGAACAGCCTCTTTCTTCTCTGATTGAGCTCTGGGCTCCAGGCCAGTCCCTCTCCCACATGCCTTGGAAAGCCAGGTCGGGACAGCTGCATCCAACCTGGAGCCTGCCCAGAGCTGCGTGGTGGCTCCATCATCATGTCATCTCTCCTCCCAGTCACCCTTGAAGGTGAATGCCACCATGCGCAGGTCCCCACCATTCCTCGCTCTCATACCAGCCACCCTCCCACCCCTAACTGATCACCCACAGCTCTCAATGCCATTGTCTGCTTACACATCACAGCTGCCAGGCCACAGGGCAGATGTCCACAAACAGGATTGATGCACCGTGGTAGGTTCTGCGCCGTGACATGCTCAGTTCACTGCCACGTGTGTGGAGCCCAAGGGTAACGAGCACCGTATCAACTACAATGACGTGGAATGTCCGTGCAACAACCCCGTCACCCTCCCACGAGGCCTCCTTTGCCTGGGACTGCAACAGCAGGTACCTGGGCCTTCAGCACAGTCGCGGGGCGGGGAGGACCACCGGGAACAGAATAAAGCACGGCTTCCTCCTGAGGCCGAGATCACTCAGTCTGGCCTGTTTCCTTTCATACTGCTTCTTGTGGCTTGAGTGTCTGAGGACTCAGCCTCACAGCTACCCAGTGGTAAATGAGCTTTCTCTCCAATAAAAATGTAAAATAAAGATATACGGACACAGGACATGTGTGCAGGCAGAGTGCGTGACCTAGCCATGAAGACGCTGGTCACCAAGCCTGCGTGACCATGCCGGGGTCCCTGGGCTCAACCCCACCCGCCAGCCTCCTGGTATTGCAGCCCCGTTGGAGGCAGGTTCAGGGTCAGCTGGCTGAGTTCCTGCTGCTCCCGTGGCGGACCTGGATGGAGCTCTTGACTCCAGGTTTTTGGCCTGGTTCTGCTACAGGCACTTAGCGAGTGAGCTGGCAGATGGGATGGTGGTGGATGGGAGGGTAGAGTTATATATTTCTCTCTCTCTCTCTCTCTCTCTCTCTTTCTCTCTCTCTCTGTCAGCCTCTGAAATAATTGGCATATATTTATATATACATTTTATATAATATGCTTTGCACACATTAATCAAAATATGTCATTCTGTAAACAGCCAAGCGTATTAGAGAATTGAAAGGGGACTGGTGCTGGGGTATAGCATGTGAAGCCACTGCTTTGCAACACCAACATTGCCTGTGGGCGCCTGTTCAAGTCCCTGATGAGCTGCTTCCGCTCCAGCTGCTCCATGTGGACCTTGCACTCCCAGCTTCTTCCTCTGACCTGGCCCAGCCCTGGTCATTGCAACCATTTTGAGAAATGAACCAATGAGTAAAACTTTCTCTAACTCTGCTTTCAGATACATAAAATAAATCTTTAAAGAGCAAGAGAGTTTAAAAAAAAATCCTTCTGCCTGTTGTCATGTTGTGTTACGCCTTCCCCAGTGTTTGTGAGTTCTTTAGGGAGCCCTTCCATCTGGGCCACAGGGGAGATTTATGACATCATCAAATGCTCCCCCCCATCCACCCTGGTTTAACCAGGAGATATCTTTGCAGTTGGGATCACAATCCTGCAGAAAGATTTGCATATTTGTATTTGACCAGAACCATCCAGGGCACCTGATCCCAGAAGTTGTGACCCTTCTTCCCAGGTCACAGGGTTATTAAACCCTGTGAGCAAGAATTCTCCAATTCACCAGCGGTGATGCACGATTCCCTGTGGTGACCCGGCTGTGGGACTTCATCAGAAAGAAGCTGTGGGGATGGGAGGAGACAGTACTGAGTGAAGGTAGGAGGAGGCGGAGGGAGGTACAGGACACAGGGTAATCCAAGAAACCCACTCTGCGAATCCCTGTGACAGCCAAGACACTGTGAAGTGCAAGGCTGGAGCAGGGGTGGGGGAGCCGCTGGGCATGGCAGGCACCAGTGGCAGGTGGAAGTCTAACCCGAGCCATGAGGGGCAAGCAGGTGGAGCGCTGCTGGAGCAAGTAGGGAGGATGTGCAGTGAGGACCACCAGTGGCCAGGACAGAGAGGTGGCAGGGTCCAGCAGGCCCCCACTGGGCCATTCTGAGTGAGGCGGACCCAGGCAGGCTTCTGAGCCAGGATGCAAGGCTCTGCCTTGGGTTTTAGAGAAACTCCAGCTGCCACAGGGAGGCCACAAGAGGCTTCCTGCGGCTTCCAGGTGACAGCCAGTGACTGTGGTGTGGACCAGGAGGCTATGAGCCCAGCTGGGCTCTGCCTGAGATCCTGGCCCAGGACAATGGGGAGCATCTGTCATCGCTAATTCTAGGGGCGGTTTGTCATACAACAGCAAAACTGTGAGCCCCAGTGCATTTCAGCCTGGTGACTAATTCCCCGTGTCATCAACGGTTGCCCTGTGACCTTCAAGGTCATCAAAGTTTAATGGCCAATTACCACCTTTATTCCACACATTAGTTTATTATTGTTCTCTGTTACGCTTGGCTGAGGCCTGTTTTCTGGGGAACCTGATGATTCTGTTTAACTGCAGAGCTGTCAGGGCCCAGTGCAATTGCTAAAAGGCTAAATCCTCACCTTACAAGAGTCAGGATTCCATATGAGTTTTGGTTCATGTCCCAACTGCTTCACTTCCCATCCAGTTCCCTGTTTTTGGCCTGGGAAAGCAGTTGAGGACAGCCCAAAGTCTTGGGATCCTACACCCTTGTGGGAGACCTGGAGGAAGCTCCTGGCTCCTGGTTTCAGATCAGCTCGGCTCTGGCTATTGCAGCCACTTGGGGAGTGAACCAGCTGGTAGAAGATCTTTCTCTCTTTCTCTCCTTCTCTTTGTAATTGCCTTGCCAATAAAAATAAATAAATCTTAAAAGGGGGGGTGAGGGTTTCTAGGGCCAATCTTGTGGTATGTCAGGTTAAGCCTCCATCTACAGGAGGAGTCTACAGGAGTTAGCACTGATTGGAGTCCTGTCTGCTCCACTTCCAATCGAACTGCCCGCTAATGCGCCTGGGAAAGCAGCGGACGATGGCTTGAGTCCTTGAGCCTCTGCACCCAGGTGGGAGATACAGAGGAGTTCCAGGTTCCTGCCTGGTTCAGTCTTGGCTTGTATTGCCATTTGTGGCATAAACTAGTAAATAGAGCTCTCTTTCTTCCTCTCTCTCTAACTCTGCCTTTCAGGTAAATAAAAATAATCCAAACCCCCCCATTAAAGTCTTTCCCTTATTTTCAAAAATGGAGTTTTCTTTTCCTGGTGCCCTCTCCAATGGATTTCCATAACAAGGAATGTTAAACCACCGAATACACGTAACCCTTGGGGATCCCTACCACAGGCCAGGAATTATGCCACGCATGCAGAAACACAGCGGTCCCCGGAGGTGTAGCCCAGCAGGGAGTGAGAGAAGGAAGTGCGCAAATGGATAAAATCTAGGCAGGCTGTGATCATGGGCGCCAAGCAACAGGTACAGGCCTGGTCCTGGGCCGTGGTAGGACACATTCCCCAGGATCGGGCAGCGGTGGGGGGGACCTTCCAAGGAATATTGGAGTCATACCGGGTAGACCCACCTGCAGGACCAAGGAGA